CGGGGAGCTCCCCAGGAGCCGCGGGCCGCGCACTCAGTAGCCTTCTCGGACCCCATCCAGAAGCCCCGCCGGGCCGCCCGGGGCTGCCTTCCAGGCCAGCCTGCTAGGGGACCCGCGCCCACCCTCCCTCTTTGGGCCTGGCGCGGGCGCCCAGGCTCCCTCTCTCCGGCCACAGTGAGCCTCGCGGACCTGCTCGCGACTCTGGCCGGGCATCCCGCGCCCGTCCCTCCGGCCCACTCCTGCTCCGGCCCCTGTCGCCGTCTCACCCCTCGCGTGGTCTCTGGGCCGCGGCCTGCGCTGCACAGGGCGCCGGCTGTGTGTCGGCCGTGTCACTCCACAGCGATAGGTGGGCACTGGACAGCCCGGGTCCTGGGTCAGCAGGGCGTGTGCCTCCTGGGCAGCCGCCCGTCGGGCCTGTGCTGGCCTGGCCCTCCACTATGCAAGGCCGACAGGAACTGGGCGGCGAATCTCTGAGCGGCCCCGCGGGGGAGGCAGGCGAGGATTCCCTCCCACCTGCGCCTGGGAGTCGGAGTGGTGACGCTTCGGGATGGATAGGGACCTGCTCAGACCTGCCCCCCTCAGATGGGAAGGCCGGCGTCTCCGGGCACGCGGAGGGCCATTCTGCCTGCACCACCTGTAGCCTGGGCGCAGAGGAACACAGCAGCACGTGGGGGGAGTTCGAAGGCTTCCGGGAGTCTGCAGCCAAGTCTGGACCCTGCTCTCCGTCCCTTGAGCCCCTGGAGAGGCCCACAGAACCTCAGCGTCCCAGAACCGCTTCTGCCCCAAAGGAGTGTGATTCTCACCAGCCGTGCCGGGGTGGACCTCGGGTGACAGGAACTGCTGCTCTCCGACCTTCTGAGGTATTTCTAGAGTACTGTTGTCGCCATGTTGAGTGGGACGTGCTTTATACAGCCAGAGGACTGCAGCCCAGGAGGCTTTGGTGCACTGGCCCTGAAAGGGCTGCAGCCTCAGAGGGGCTGCTGCTCTCCTGACCTGTGTCCCTGGCCATGAGCTTGGTGTTCCATCCTCCTGAGGCCGGGGACAGAATGAGGGGGCAGAGCTGCCGAAATGGGTTGCTCCAAGGCCAGGTGCAGCCACCGAGCTGGGCCGCTTTCTCTGACCACTCCTCCCCAGGCCTGTCCACACCCCTCAGCTCCAGCTCAGGGCTTGTGAGGAAGGAGCCTTTTGGCTACTTGTGAATCTACAGTTAGTCCTGGAAAGTCTCAAATCACACAGACACATTTTGGTTTCCCCTGACGAACTGGGTGGTACCCAGTGCCAGGGCTTGTTTGTAGCGTCCAGCCCTGGTGTTCACCTTCTGGCCTCTGAGCCTTCTCTTTCTTGTCTTCCTCTTCTTTCATTGCTCCTGCTTCTCCCCACCTCTTCCCAAGAGGCTCATCAAAAACACTGAAAGAAAAGATGAGAAGTAAAACAAGGAAGGAAGGAAATAAAGGTGCCACAGTTCTCAAGGCTGGGCTGTTTGTTTTCTAAACCAGTCAAGGTCTCCCTGGGCCCCCCGATAAGACCCACAGGTGGCTCTGCTGCAATGCTTATTTTGAAAGCAGGACTTTCTTCTAACATGATGGACATATTAGGGAACATCTGAGTCTAATTCCATGTTCACAAGAAACAGTAGGTGAACGCAGAAAGCGGCACCTCTGGGCTGAGATGCGTTGGAATACACGAGACTAGCACACGTAATCTGTTGTCCACCAGCACCTTGGTTTCTCATGCCCACTCACGCTGGAGTCAGCCCCCACCAGCTCAGCAGCCTCCTCCCCACACTCACACAAACCCAGCCTGTGCCTCATCCTTGCTGGGTGCAGGCTGTGCTTGTCATAGTGGAGAGGGAGTTCTTAGCCAGCTAGTATGGGAGTCAGTTAGAAGCTAACGTACTAGGCGGCATCTTCTTCGTGCACCTCTGACAAGGCTGGAATGTCATGCTCCCAGCCTACTTTCCCCACAAGCCCTGCAGAGCAGTGACTTGTAGGAACACGCACATCAGGAAATAGAAACACTGAGGATATAGTCAGTAACAAATTTCATGTGTACCAAAATTGTTTATTTGCAATAACGTCACATCGTGTGTATATTTCTAACTTTGGTATGTTTTTATCTTTTAGCCCATTCTCAGCTGTGAGGCCATTTTTAAGTTTGCTTTTCAAGAAGCCACTGTCCAGCAGGCACCTGAAGATGTGTCCACCTTAGGCCATTTCCTAGGAATGAGCAGTGAAGAGAAACCTGAACTTGAGCCTGTACATAAATTGTGGTAATGAACTTAAATTGGTTCTGCATCTTCCCTAGAGCAACTGAATTGTGCTTGTGTGTGATACAGGGGAAGTGAGCTCTGTCTCTTCTGTACAGAGCGTCATCTCTCCTGCTCTCTGGGGGCTGTCGGTTCCTGAGGAAGGGTGACATAGGTTGATGCTCTCGCCACAGCCCCTCTGCTCTGACCCATGTTCAGTGCCCCTCCCAGCTCACAGGGAATGAGCCAGACCTGAGCCCCAGCTCCCCTAGTGATGCGAGGGCTGGGACTCAGAGCCAGGGACCTGGCCTCCAGGGGCTCGAGGGACCGAAAGGTCCCAGCTGCCAGCTGCCTCAGTCCTCAGCTAGTGGTGGAAAACGCACCCAGAGCAGCAGAGGCCGCTGTGCCCCAGGGCCTGTTGTCATTGCTCTTGCGAGCCACCAGCCTGGCCGAGGATCCTGGTGGCGCACATGCAGTTTGCTGATGGCCATTCTCTAAGGATGTAGTTTCAGTGGACACTGAGAGGGAAACGGACTTGAGGGGACTGAGCATCAGTGGTTGAGAGCTTAAGATAAGCTAGCCCAGGGCCCATGGGGAGGGAGGCCAAGGCTGGTGTGGGCCGGCTTCCCCATCCTGCGTGTGGCTGTTATGCTGCAACAGTTTGTACATGTCTGTGCAGGCCTAGACATAGCCAGCGCTCTGCAGACAGGTTGTTCTCAACTCCAGCTGTGGCCCCTCATGGCCTCTGCTAGTGTTTCCCCTAGTGCCCACCCAGGCACCTTCCACAGGAGCTTGGGGCCGAGGTCAGGAGCCCGGAGGCCAGGGCATCCTAGAGCACAAGCCCTGGGGAAGCTCCCCGTAGTGTGGTCCCAGTGGGGCAGGGGCTGCGATGGCAATGCTGTCACTGTCCCCAGCAGCATGGCTGGAGGGTCCTGGGCATCAGGACTCATGAGACAGAGGTGAGGGGAGTATAAGTGACTCCCTTGCACCTCATCTTCTCCCATCATTATCTGGGTGCTGTTTCCGTCCTGGTGGTGATCTTCTTGGGGCAGCCACTCAGTCCCCATGGTCTGTGGACTAACGTGGCATGGCACATACACTCCTCTGCATGTTTATCTATTCTTTCCTCTGAACATTCACTGTCCATGGTCCGTGACTGCCTGTTGGACCCGACACAGTTCAGTGCTGGCAGCCGACTGTCCAGGAGCTGCTCCGTTGGAGATGAGGCAGGGAGGGGGGCACTGCTGGCCCAGGCGGGTACTGTTGCTTGGCAAGTATGCACACAAACAGGACACGGAATGGTCAGGGCTCTCAGGGAATGCTCTTGAGCCCCTGGAGCCAGGACCCCATAGGGACTCATGTGAGGGTGAGCCCCTATGCCTGAGGCCGTGTTCCAGGTTCCCTCTTAGTGGTAGCATCTGTTTTCCAGTTCTGAATCTAGAAAGCTCTGGCGAGCCCTGCAGAACACAGACACTACATGTGCCTCACGGCGCCCCTGGAGCGAGTCCCGCTGCCAGCAGAACTTCCTTCTTGTTCTTGGGGTGGATGCTGCTCAGGTGAGGCTCCTGGGCATGGGTTGGACTTCCCTGTAGCCGGCAGTCCTGTGGCTAGCACACCCCGAGCCCACCTGTCCGGGGCACATGCTAGTCTGCAGCAGAGAGCAGCCAAGGTCTTGAGGCACTGGCTTCAGGGCTGAGGCAATGGCGGGCGGTGGGGAAGTGGGCGGTGCTCACCTGACCTTAGCAGTGCACGGTCACGAGTCTCCTGCCCAGGCAAGACTCCTGCGGGAGCAGGCACGGGAAACAGACATGGAGACACACTGCACATGGATTCAGTGGGTAGTGGAAGAGGGGGCCGTGGCAGAACCCCACGAAGTGTCACGCTGCCGGGTGGGGGTCGCCCAGGGACAGGCAGAAACACTCCCTGTCTGGGGGCTGTAGGCTGCCAGGGCGTGTCTGCACGAGGTGCGACGAAGTAGGGACGTGGGGCTGGGGCCTGAGGTGGGCACACAGGACGAGGGGGCAGGCCCCGGTATGGCCACGTGGCATGTGAGAAGTTGGGCGGCTTTCGTGGAAATGCCTTGCGGGGCAGCCCCCCTTGGGTTCCCTGCCACTAGGAGCTTTTCTGTCCTCTCAATAAATCCTGCCTTCAAAAAAGAAAATACCTTGCAGTGTGGCAGACAGTCCTGGCATGGAGGGGATGGGTCAGGCAGGGTATGATGGCTTATTAAAGCCACTGGTGGCGCCGTAAAGGCCCTAGGTTAAACCCCTCATGCCTGAGGCAGGAGCCAGCAAAGCCCAAAGCAGAAGATGGGGAAGGCTCCAGAAGCCATCGGCCTGAGACTGGCAGACCATGCAGTGCAGCCTGTCGGGTCCACATGCCATATCTCACGTCAACTCCTGAGCTACCAAAGACAGTGTGAGCTAGAGGGGGGCAGTTTGGCCATCAAGACTACAAAGATCATTTTCCGTTCTAAAGTGTTACTTTTTTTTTTTTTTTGAGTCGGAGTCTCACTCAGTCGCCCAGACTGGAGTGCAG